CCCCCCCCCCCCCAAATGACCCCGATTTTAGATTAAATTAGTAGGCCCATGTGTCTTGAAGTTTTTTTCGCGTGTACCCTTGCTCCAGGGGGGAAATATATGAAATATTATGTCATCCCCAACATCCCCGGGTCCACTTATTTTTTGGCAAGTTCCCCACCCTGACATCAACACTAACACACTTCAAGGGTCTGCTGGTTGAAATCGACCGTATGTGGCTCTGTTTTACCGTATTTAGAAGCGAGCATATTTTTTGGTATTTTCCAAAAGAGCTTATATTTTGGTCCAGAAGAAGTAGTAAATAATTGTTACGCATGCAGAACATCTGGCGCCTGTTCTTGCGGTTCAGAGTGAAAGCGTCCGTTTGGTGACGATACCGCACACCACGACGACTTCCGAGAATGAGCGAGTGGATGTGGACTGATTGTGCTCGAGTTCCTTTTACTGTTCCGTCAATCAGTTGCTTGAAGTTTCTTGACAATAGATCTAATTGATTTCGCCCTGTCCATTGAATATGTCAGCGGTGAATACGCACACGCTACATGTACCTACTACTCCCATGTACCTCACCATCTGTTTCAACTTTCCTCATTTCACTTCGGATGTTCATATTTCGCGATGGATATAGTACCTGGGCTTGGTTTACAGCAATAGGTCACACTCTACCTACTGGATGTCTGAACACTGGATAGTTGACGCCCTCCGGAATTTATTGCGTTACAGCAAAAGGCATGTACGACATGTCACGCCCCTCCCCCCCTCCCCACGCAGTATGCCTCCAGATTCCTCAGGAATGCTGACATTTGAAGGTCCCGGGGATAAACGCCGGGGACGGGAAGGCAGGCGCCCCCTGGCTTTCGGCAGGAAATGGTGCGAATACCACCGCCGCCAGTGCTAGATAAAAAAATTGTGTGGATATATAGTCTATATTATATATATTTGGATATATGTAGGTGCGCCACTTTCATCAACTCTGGCGCATATTCCATGTGCAATCGTAGTTTGGTTCCTGAAATTCGCCACTCATTTACGAGAAGGCCCTGGCCATCCATTAGTTGGCACCAACATACCGTCGGCACGGCAAAAAATGAAAACGCGCACTCTCCAACGCCCAATTTGGTAAACAATCCGGCCTGTGGGTCCCGTGAGCCTCCTTTTAACGCCCGGGCGAGCTATTTTCGAGGATAGGCAACGTTACTTGAGAAAGTGAGGATACCGTGAGAGGTAGATAAACACACGCTTTTGCTTCTCGCCTTCTTAGCTACTGGTAGGACCAGGGAAGGTTTGGTTGCGCCCATCCTCCATCCCAAACAAGGCAACTGCGGAAAAGTCCCCCGGGTACAGATTTCGCAACGATCCTGGAGTGTTGGTTGCAAAGCACTGGACGTCCGTTGAACTCTGACGATTTCGTGCATGGTTGTCCCTCTCAGCGTGGTGCTATTACTCTGTTTCCCGCGTGGGGCAACGGACCGCGTTCTGTTTTGCAAATGACAAGACAGACTCCGAAGCCGGCTGTTCTTGCTGAAGAAAGGAGGATCGGGGCGAACAAGGCGCGCCAGACGATAGCGTAAAGCGAGCGATCTCTTACATCTACCCTTTGCAACAATGGACATGCTTGCGTGTTTGTTGCGAACTTCGGGGTGAACTTGAAATGCGATCGACAGACCGCTTGGACCCCAAAAAAAAGCGCCGGGACCACCCGCAAAAAAGTACGTTCCTTTCAACACCACTCAGTAGTAGTCCTACCGCTCGCCAAAGATACCCCCTCTCGCACAACCAACGGGCGACAGCGCATTCTTTGGCAGTGGCCTTTGGGAATCAACGCCCCGCCTGCCTACTCATGTCGCTAGAGGCGGTTCTCACCCGAATGGCCGTTGACACACAGCACTCGCACAGCAGGGTCTCCGCACCAGTGGCCATCGCCGCCGCCCACCGCAACCACCTCCCCACTTAAGTGAGCGGCTCGGTCATGCGTCTATCAGGATCCCCCCCCCCCCCCCCC